TGCTAATGAAAGTCACGGAAGATGACAGAATGAGGTTGTCAGAAGTGGAGTTGGCTGGCTAAGAGAAAAGGTATTGGAGCATGAATAAATGCCACTGAAGACATGTAATCATCGACACGGTGACAGTAAATGGACCAGTTGTTCTGCAGCCTTCATAGGTTTTACCAGTTTGTTAAGAGAAACTTCCATCCATCCATTCATTTTCTGAACCCGCTTTGTCCACATAGGGTTGCACGGGGGGGTGGGGGGGGGGTGTCAAAGGGCAATCAGGCGGGGTACACCCTGGACAGAGAGCCAGTCCATCTCAAGGCAACACAGATACACAAGACAAACAATCACACACACACACACACACACACCTAAGGACAATTTAGACAGACCAATCAACCTAACAGTTATGTTTTTGGACTGTGGGAGGAAGCCGGAGTACCCGGAGAGAACCCACGCATGCACAGGGAGAACATGCAAACTCCATGCAGAAAGATCCCAGGCCGGGAAGCGAACCCAGGACCTTCTTGCTGCAAGGCAACAGCTCTAACCACTGCGCCACTGCGCAGCCCGTTAAGAAAAACTTATAAGATTAAACTTTGAAGTGTCTAAAAGGTCAACAACCTTTACTTGTGTTCTTTGTTTTCTCCTTGCAGCTATGAGTGTTGCATAAAGGCACCTTAATAATAGCTTTCATCTCTGTGAACCATGCATGTAAATGTCCATCCCACACATCCTCCGCAGACATGAAGAAACCATACGGCTTGTGTCAGAGGGTAAAGATTTTAAAGTCAAATACGAATGAATACTTCTGAGTAAAAGGCAGATGGAGGTGTTTAGGTGAGCAGTTTCTTTCATGTTGCTTTATTTAACCACGTTCATGAGGGAGTTCTGCGTTTATTTAGAGTTTGACTCCGTTTTAGTTTTTCAAAGGCTTGAATTTAGGAGAAATTTAGTTTTTTCTGTCCTGCAAAAACTTATTTGGTTGATTTTATTTGAAATTATGTCCGAAATATGTTCGTAAAGTTGTTTGGTTAAATGTAGATTTGGTCATTTTATTTTTGAGTGCTTTTCTGCACATCTTTGCATATTAATGAGCTGTCCTCTGACAGTTTTACAACAAACAGTTTAAAATATGCATGCTCTAAATACCTGTTTGCAGTTTTGATTGAGTCAACCATTCTACTCAGCTCATCTCATAACCTCTTTATCATAGGAGATTTTATCCCTACAGAAATATTCAGTTTCCTCCATTAGGATTTAGTCAAAACTCAGAACGTTCCTGGTTTTGGTTCCAGCACAGTTCCACCTAAACCAGTAGAAAAATTATAACGGCAACCTCATCATTTAGCCATATGATGGTGTTAATTCAAATTCAATTCAAAGATACTTTATTAATCCCGGGGGAAATTATAGAATTAATAGGGATGTGCAATATGGTTAGTACTGGCATTAAAATATAACATCAGAAATTGTGGCTTATATTGGAATCATAAAATCAGTTGGAATGTAAAGGTACTTCAGATTTATAATCTAGAAATCTAGACTGACCGTAGCACCTATGGTCGGTCTAGCCACGCTCCACTGGAGTCTCAACAGGTCTGCCACTGGCCTGAGCTGTTTTGTGTCTTGCCAATCACAGCACTCTGTCAATTTAGTGGGCGGTTCTTATCTACCAAGATGGCGACAGCTCATTTTAAACAGCTTTGGCATCAACTTGGACTATTTAGACTTGGGCTTTTGTTTGACTCGAGCGGTTAAGTCCTTCATTTCGAAAAAGGATGTCCATGCATCTTATTTGATGTATGGCGGACTTTCCTGTTGAAAGACATTAGTAGGGGTGAGTATGTCACGTTGTTTGTTGTCCAATAGCATGCAGAGACAGTTTGAAAGACAACAATAAATTCTGCTTCATGATTGAGCTCTGTCTATGGATTATGGCCAGACTATATTCACATATATAGGATGGCTTGTCAGGTTAGAGGACATTAGTAAAAAAAATAAAGAAAACGACATAGAACATCCCTAATAATGAATTAACATAGCATAAAACCATCAGATGGTTGGCTATACATTAATATCCATTAAAAAATCTGTATTAATAACTGACGATGTTGTATGAAGCCTTACGGATCGACTCATTGGACACGATGATGGTTTGGTTTGGAGCAAATATCTTAATGCATTTATTGCATTTTTAGGGTATTCATTAGCGATTAAAATTTAAAGTCAAGTCTGTGTTAGTGAAGAAGGACTTGGAAAGACTCATTCATGCTCTCATCGCCTCGAGAATGATCTACATATTGTGGTGAGTCAAGGTTGTCGTCTTTCAAGACCACAGTTGGTCCGGAACGCTGCAGCGCGTATGCTAACGAGCACCCGCATGTATGTGCTGTCTTCCCTGCACCAGATCACTGTTGTTTGAAGACGTCTCAAGATCCTGGTTCTAGCGTATAAAGCTTCAAATGGGTTGGCACCTTCTTACCTATCGGAAATTCTCTTTCCATATCAGCCGACACGCCGGCTGAGGTCGGCTGACCAGCAGCAGTTGGTGGTTTTAAGGGCAAGCCTGAAGCTGAGGGGTGATAGGTCCTTTGCTGTGGCTGCGCCACGGCTATGGAATCGGCTGCCTGTCAGTATTAAGCAGGCCTCCTTGCTTGTTTTGAAATCTTTTCTTAAGACGCACTTTTGTTCCCTGATGTTTCACACAGCCTGATTGTTATCTACGCTTGTTTGCTTTAAGCTGTGCTGTGTTTAATTTACTTATTGTATGCCTTTAGTGTTTTATCTTCGCAGGTTTGTTTGTTTTTATCTGTGCAGCACTTTGGTCGACAGTTGTGTTCAAAGTGCTATGTGAATAAAGCTGGGTTGGATTCGAACAATCATAACCCTATCAGAATAAACAAGATTGCGTACATTGTAAATATTTATTTTCATTTTCATTCAGATCTCAATTAGCTGTTATTGAAGAGTTTTCCTAGAGTCTATCCAACATGCTGCCATATAGTGTAGAAAAAAATACTTATACACAAAACAACTATCAGACATCAAAAAGACAAGGACAAACACGGGACCCATTTGATACATGATCTGTGTTTTTGTTTTAATGCAAAAACAACTGGACTCTGTGGGTTAATTCTTCTTAGAATGTAGGAAATATAGGATTTAAAATAGGAAGAGGAATCTGCATGTCAATGTTCAGAGAGCCCTTCTGGGAAAACCAGGTTGGTTACCAGCATGTGTTGTGTTTTGGTGTTGGGTTAGCTGCTGGGCTAGCATTACTTGAGCTGTGTGGTGGCACCGTTGCCTCGCAGCAAGAAGGTTGCAGGCTCGAAACTCGACTCCGGAGTTGCATGCGTAGGTTTCCTCCGGGTATTCCGGTTTCCCCCACAGATCACAACATGCCCTACAGGCTAACAAGTGTACGCTGCTTTGGATAAAAGTGTCTGCCAAATAAATAAACATAACATCACATTCTGATCAAGCATCCCACGTTTGGCCAGCATGTAATGCTGGACCAGCATATCAGTACCAAAACAACACATAGAAACCAACAGTGTTGGGAGTAATGCGGTACAAAAGTAATTAATTACTGTAATGCATTGCTTTTTGCTGTAATGTGGTAATGTAAGGCATTACAGGGAAAGAAATGGTAATATTTACTCTGTACAAGTGTCAGTAACGCGGTAATTACAATGCATTTTTAAACCCAGAATCAAGATGTGGGTTTCCTAAAAAGTCAAATTGCGAGAAGCCTGAAGAAAGATCCAGTATCCACATATATGACGTCATTTATGACTCAGCTTTGCGGGCATTCTATGAGCAGAGAGGACGCAGCGGTAACGGCTCAAATACTCCAGCTGCGTCCTGCGCATGGCCGCTGTTATATTCACAAAATCGCTCCACCAAAACAAAGTAATTCGTTTGCGATCGTTTATATCAACCCATATTCTCTGGTACTTCATGTACTTTTCAGCTGAGTTCATAATCTGTGCGCCGGTCATTTCAACTCATTGCTGCTGGAGCGCAGCGCATATTAAGCTTTTTTAACGTTCGGTAGATCCCTTTGGCTGATTAGTTAGAAATCTAGGAAATAGTTTTTCTGGAAGACGGAGAAAACATGCAGCATGCAGGAAGGTTAGAGAGAGAAAGGGCAGAAAATTAGTCAAATAAAATCAAGAAAAAAAGAAAAGAAGTAGGTAGATTTATCCCCAATACACATTTTTACCAGTGAAAAGCAATAATATATAAGCATTTAATATTTATACATGTGATAGAATCAGATCACCCCAGAAGTCAGTCCCACATCCAGGGCCGTATCAAGGCATTTGGGGACCAAGGCAAATATAGGCTTGGAGCCCCCACCACCTCACTCCCTGCTCAGTTAATATAAGATGGCAGTGTGCTGAGAGTACAGATTGTTGTTGCTTTTATGTAATAAACAATCATTTTAAAGCACTGTTATTATATCTGACTGTTTTTAACAGCAATCCTAGCTCAGACACCACATCACCTTCCACATATGTGTCATGAGCTCACTGAGCGTCACATTACCAGATTCATACTGAAGTTGTTTTAGTAATGCAAAAGTAGTGTAATGCCTTACATTTTAAAATGAGTAATATTGTAATGTAATGAATTACTTTTAAATGAGGGTAACAAGTAACAAATAATGCATTACAGTTTTGAAGTAACTTGCCCAACACTGGTAACCAACTATGCTGGTTTTTCCAGCAGGAAGAAAAGCCCAAACATTTGGAATCCTATAATTCTGTTCTGTAAGCAGATGCTGCATTCATTCATTCATTTATTCATTTTGATGTGTTCATCAGAGGTCAGGTTGAGCATCAGATCCAGTTGGAAAGTCCAGATATCCCTCCTCCCAACAGCAGTCTCTGGTTCTGTCTCAGGCTTGAACCCACCTTGTTTCCTTCTTTCCTTTTGAAATCTAATGGGCACATAAACACATTTGGAACGTTGTCATGACACTCGTGCCCTCTGTGTGCTTGCAGGAGTCAGTTGCATTGGGGAGAATGAGGAACCAGCCAACATGACAGAGTGCTTGCAGTGGGCAGGCCCCTCCCCCCCTCTAATCAGAGAGTGCCGGGTAGCTTGCAAGGATGACTGCACTCTAACTGCATGGTCCAAGTTTTCTGAATGTGCTGGATGTGGCAGCTCGCAAACTCGCAAGCGCTCACTTTTAGGTAAGGACTGTGCTTTTCCTGTCAGGGTGAGACACTAATATCGCTCCAGACGCCTGTTACTAAAAACTGAGGTCAAACGTTACCACATTGTCTCACCGTATGCTTGACTGGCATTTGACTGGCAGTGGCTTTGGCTATAAATGAAACCTGGAGAAGATGTTTCTTTCTGTTTGTTTTATGTCTGAGTGTGAGGATTTGACTGTTTCCTAGAAGCACACAACAACATTTTCATAATTATTGATCTTCCCTCAACAGCCTGGATTTATTGCTCTTCTTGGACATTAATTACAAAACACTCTTCATGGGTTGAGAAATTTAGCACTTTATTGTACAACATTGTATTAAACAACAGCATTTTTCAAATTCAAGTTGTGTTACTGTAATCTCTGCTGTCCCTCTAGTGCTAAATAAGGTCGAAGTTAGGTCCCTCCCAACTTGTAATCCCTTATTTTGGTGCAGATGGCAAAATTTGACTTTCATACTGTGGTTGCAGACCAGACTGGATACTATTTGTCCTCATGAATATTTTATCTGTTGCTGGAGGGGTTGTAGTAAACATACCCTGTCTCTCTTAATAATGCACCAAGAAAGTAACATGACAATAACTCTGACTGCGTGCTTTTTTTTTAGAAGGATTTGTTCATAATAGGCCATTTCAGCTCCGTATGCAAACTAAACCACTTGCTTAAGTTTCTCTGTCAGGAAGATTGATGAGAAGGTTTTAAGCTTTAAAATGTGGTTCAGAAAGTCAGCAGCACACACAGGCCAGCGCTTCAGCAGTGCAGCCACTTGGTATTTAATCCTTTAGCTAATTTACACTCAAAGACTTCTTGAAGCCCAAAAAAAAAGAATCATTTACGGTCTAATGTAAATGCCATTATCTTTCTTAAGGTGCATTTAAACAACTGTTCGTTTTACCAGGGATTTACACACATTTAAGCAAGAAGACACACATGTGGGATGTTGCACCAGTCAGGTCTGTTTTCTGCCATACAGACCACAAAGGATGGTTGGCACTTGAAGGAGAACTCTGAATGTAGTACTGTGTTACATTAGGTGGGGTGGTGTCTCTGTGCAGAATATGTTCAACATGGGATACCTGTTATTGCTACAGTTGTTTAAACCTATAAATATGTAAATTGTATGAACTGATGATTCTCTGTAGGTTCAAGAGCCGCATCTGACATATGTCTGTAATGTGAGGAAATATGGGTTTTCTGTGCAAAAGGTCATTTGACTCGGCTGGGTCAAAGAGCTGGGTCGCTGAGAATTGAACCTGAGGTGAGATGGATGCGTGTGCGCATCTGATTTTGCTTCAGGAAGAAACAGGTGTCTGAGTGAAAAGTGATGGTTTGAATAAACTTAGGTTTAGTTGGAAAAGATGCATCAAAACGCTATCTGTCGTGTTTTGCCTCACCGAAAATCGGACCCCCTGTTGGACCCGGGACGTCACCTTAGGATGATGTTTCATCCAGGGCACCTTGGCTGGCAAAGAAGACAAAGATGCGCCGCGAACCGGTCCAGAGTTGCCCTCGGTACACGTTGATGGTAGAGCGTTTTGTCGATGCGCTTTCTTAAGTTAATTCACTCAGAAATCAAAGACTCTGTATGAGTCTGCGTTAGAAGTTGCGATTCAGATGTCCTGTCTGGCTGACAGGAACAGCGTGAGGGGGGGGGGGGAAGAAACGAGCCAACCGGCTCTGTCCCCCCTTCGGTTTCTTCAGGTCCTCTCTCTTTCGTTGTCAAGCACGAACTGAAATCATAAGACTGAAACTTACCAAAAGCCTTTCTCTTCTCAAAGCAAACGTGTGCGTCAGCAAATGTGTTTTGGAGTTTACTGTGAGAATCTGTGTGTGGGTGTGTTTGAGTGTGTGTGTGCTTGAGTGTGTGTGTGAAGGTCGGTAACAAACATCCTCAAACATTATCTAATTAAGTATGGATTCATTAATCCATTATAATTACCCAAAGCATAAGAATCATTCACTTGATTAAACACATTTATAATGAGCAAAATGATAATGGTTATTCTTTAACATTAAAATCAAGAAAGGAAGTTTTAAGACTTGTTATTTTATGACTACTTGTCCATGAGAACTCCTTCTTCTGGTACTGCAGGTGTTCAGATGTTATGGTTTCCAGCAGACTCTTGCAGACTTCATGTCTGCAAAGGTCTCAATCTGTGGGTGAAAGTTCTCAGCGACCCAGCTCTTTGACCCAGCCGAGTCAAATGACCTTTTGCACAGAAAACCCATATTTCCTCACATTACATGTCAGAGTAAACATTGTTTATACATTACAATCAGCTCTACCTGTGCAGCACGCATACCATCAAAATATAATTATCTAAATGTGCACATGACCAGAAACTAGATGTCTGTGTGCATGCTCTAACCTGCATCAAGCTTTGAGAGGAAACTATGTTTTATTACGGTTTACATATTCTGAAGGAAATACTGGTCTTTACATTTTCATCATTGAGGAAAAACAATACCTCAAGTTCGAATCAACGGTCTTCTGGTCGAGAAAAATAAATCCTTTTGCAGTTTTGCTGTTTGGAAGCATAACAGCAAAGTGGTGGTTAGTTTATGTTTGGAGCAAGGATGGAGACTGGATGCAGTCCAACTTCCTCCAGTTAAACAAAAACAAGACTGAAGTTATTGTCTTTGGAAAAAAGAAGGAGGGAGGTTATTGCTCAACTTGGCTCCAGAGGAATAAAGACAAAGACTCAGCTTAGAAGTCTTGGTGTCATAAGTGATTCAGACCTGAGCTTCACTGGTTACATGAAAACTGTAACTGGATCAGCGTTTTATCATCTTCACCAAGTAGCACGAATCAGAGGTCTCATGCCAAGACCTAGAGAAACTCATTCATGCGTTATTCTCCAGCAGGCTGGACGATTGCAACAATCTTTTTTGACTGGTCTTCCCGAAAAAGTTGTGAAGATACTGCAGCTTAATCAGAATGCTGCTGAGTCTTAACAAGAACCAAGAGAACCGAGCACATTACTCCTATTCTTATCCCCTCCCGGATTACTGAGCTTCTCATCTTATCTCTAAGGGGAGAGCCCAGCCACTCTGTGGAGAAAACTCATTTCAGCCACTTGTATCCACGATCTCGTTCTTCCGGTCACCACCCAAAGCTCGTGACCATAGGTGAGGGCTGGAACGTAGATCGACCGTTAAATCGAGAGCTTTGCCCTCCGGCTCAGCTCTCTCTTCACCATGACAGACCAGTGCAATGCCCGCATCGCTGCAGACGCAGCACCAATCCGCCTATCGATCTCCCGCTCAATCTTTCCCTCACTCACATATTTCATTTACACCATTAAAAACTCAAATAAATAGAAAATATGTAAATAAATGCAACAAAAATAGAATGACAACATTTACAATTTTTTCCCCCGATTGAATTAATGGTTGAGTATAGAACACGGACACTGTGGTGAACTCTAGTGTTCAGAGATGGTATTGCAACAACAGGATGAATTTTCCAGCCGTTGGTAATGTTGGTTATATAGCACATTTGAAAACAGCATGTCAGCTGACCAAAGCACTGCACAGAGTAAAACCTAAAAAGCCATTCAAATTCACATTCACCGCTTGCAGAGGAATGATAGTTATCAAAGATGAGGACCTTGGTGAAGGCCTTAGCTTCGCTCGGCATCCCCCCCACCTGCCGCGTCAGCAGCGCCTCTTTCGGAACCATACTGGACGCGGGGCGGTGAGCAGAAATGCTGGGACCGTAGCAAACAGCGAGCCAAGACCTTCTAAAGTCACGACTGTGGAACTGAAGTGATCCAAGGTTCTGCCGGAGATCGACAAGGGTAAGTCGGTCATATGAGATAACAGTACTGGATTCGGTAATCCAGCAGTTTGTAAACACAATAATAAGAAACAAAAACAGGAGCGGCAGACGAGCAGCCATTACAGCAGGCGCCATCATATACCAGGCTCACTGCTGACATGTTCCGGCATCATGTTCAGATTCAAATCTTACAGGATGGGGACTAATTTCTACTAATAAGTTTATTTTACCACAGAATTTACCATTGGAACAAGTGAGCCGACTTTATATCACAACGGTGCCCTCTAGTGGCTGGTCGATGTAAACAAAAACCCAGTGTCGTGCCCGACAAAATAAAAGTTTGATTATTATCTTAAATATAGCTTTTAAAGGAGAAACTGTACATTCATTCTGCACACCTCTAAATGCCCGGTGGAGGTATTGCCTTTTAAAAAAGATAACTTTTTATTAAAATGTTCCATATTCTAACTTTAATTATCTGAAAACTAAACAAAAATATATATTTTCATTCCTTCTGAGTGTTAGTTTGTGAGTGAATTCTTAAGTGTTAGACGTTCATTTCTGTGAATGATCTCTCCCACTGATCAGAGAGCAGATGTGTGTGTGTGTGTGTGTGTGTGTGTGTGTGTGTGTGTGTGTGTGTGTGTGTGTGTGTGTGTGTGTGTGTGTGTGTGTGTGTGTGTACGCCGGAGCTTAACAGCAGATAAACGGTTTAGCTACTATTTCCAAGAATATTGATGTGGGATTTACATTAGCTCTGAGTTCCTTGTCACAATAAGCTCTTGGTACTGCGTGTGCATCATATCAGACAAGCCATCAGAAATACCATCAATGTAATGTTTCACCTTTGTTGTCTTGAATCACGCTATTAATACATTTATTACGTTTACTTGTGGTTTAGTTAGATGTGTAGCTTTCATAGATGCTTATTCATGTTTTATGGATTTCAAAAATTTTTCCCATTCAGATGTAAAAACAACTCTTTGTGAATGAAAATGCTCTCAGAACATAAAAATTGAGACCGATTTATCGAGGGAAACTCGGGGGGGGGGGTATTGAACCTCTCTTAAAGGCTTTTCATGTTTATTACAGAACGATTTAAAAGAAAAGCCGTTAAAAAGCAGGTTCTGGATCTGAATGCTGACTGTTTATGTTGCCTGAAACCTGACGATCAGCCGCGCCGTTCTTGTCAAAGT